TAGCCTACAGCTGGGCAAAATCATATAACACAAAGCTTATTTTATAATTAAGTGTGGAATAGGTCACATACCTTATTGACTATTGTGTTGAAAGTGAAAAGCAGCCTGAGGGTGTCGTTTCCCACATGATCCTGGGGCTGACTGGGACGGCTGCCCAGCTGCCCTTGCCCAGCACCACATCACGAGTGAGGACCACACCACCTCTTTGACCCAGGAAAAGATCAACATTCAAAACTCAATGTATGGTTTCTATTGAATGTGAATGCAAATTGCTTTCACATTATCATTAAGTCAAAAAACCATAAATTGAACCATCACAGTTAGGGGAACCGTTCTAAGTACTGGAGGACACAGCAATGAATGAAATAGACCACCGGGATGATGAGGGCAGATGATAAGTAAAGTAAGGTTAGTAAAATATGTGGAGTGGCAGTAGGTGATAAATGCTAGGAGGGAAAGCAAAATAGACAAAGGACATGAGAGGCTTTGACACATAAATACAGTGGGCAGGGAAGGCCCCACTTGAGTTAGGAATCGTGGAAACAGTCAGTGTAAAGCCCTAAGATGGGAGACGCCAGTGTTGCTGGAGCAGACGAGGGAGGGGAAGGGTCGCTGGAGGGGACTGCTGAGAGATGATCCAGACCCTTGTGCTGCAGCAGAGGAGAAAAGTGATTTAACTTACATTTTCAAGGTCACTGTTAGGGAGTAGTTTGTTCCTGGGAAACAGGGTCAAAGCTGGAGACAAGTTCAGATGTCATCACTGCATTAAGTCCTCATTTAACACGATTGGTAGGTTTATGGAAACTGAGTCTAAGTGAAATGATGTAGGCTAACTGATGTTCCTACCACTTATTTCTGGTCACATACACACCCTCATATGTCTATATAAAGACCCAAAATATATCTATTAGGAAACAATAATTTGCATTCACTCATTTTTAAGCCCTCCTTATTCCTTTTCAGGAATTCCTGTGCTGGAGCCTGTCCCTGCAGCTCGGGGATCAAGGCCGGACACAGCCCTAGACAGGATGCCCTTCCATCACAGGGCACATCACACCCACTCCCACTTCAACTGGGACAACTGAGACGCGCCAGTGAGCATCATGTCCACCTCCTCAGGATGTGGGAGGGAACTGGAGACCCCAGAGAAAACACACCGACATGGGGAGAAGGTGCAAACTCTACATAGACAGTGACCCTGGCTAGGAATTGATTTTTTTTTTTTTCATCAACATTACAACAAAACGGTGTTGAATGAAAAAAAAATTTTTTTAAAGCTGTTACTTTTTAAAAAGATTTATTTATTTATGCATAAAAGAACTGGAGTTCAGGCCAGAGGTGTGGGGGGTGAGAGGATTCACCAGAGACAGAGTGGGAAGCAGAAGAGGTGGATTGACTGAAATACACTGCTGAGCGGAGCAGCAGGTGAGTCGGGAGAGGTCTGCTGCGCCATGTGGGTAGCTCTCTGGCCGTGGATGGAACCCGCGCTGCAGTGGCTGTGGGCAGCCTCATAGGTTGCATCATAACCCCTTGCACCACCAGGGAGGCCTTTGAATTATAAAACGTTATTTGAGGATTTGTTAACAGAGAAGATGACAGTTGCTTGCTTAGGTTAGTATGGTGGCAATGGAGACAGAGAGAAGAGGCTGGGTCCTGGATATATTTGGAAGGTAGATCTAAAGATAGAATGTGCTGATGAGTCAGAAAGAGAGACATCCAGATTATCCCAGAATTTTGGACACTGAAAGGTTGATCTGGGAATAGGGGGAGGTCAGTTATAGGTACAGGGGAAGGTCAGGAATTTGGCTTCAGGTACAATAAGCCTGAGCACCATAGACACCCAGGTGGAGCTGTGAGCACACAGTCGGCTATGCTTTCCTGGATTAAGGTCGGCACCAGAGGTATATTTTATATATGACATGTAATGGATGAGATCATGAAGCAGCAAGTATTGTCAGAGTAGAAATGAGGTCCAAGGTTTAGTCCTGGGTCCTTCTTCAGCAAAGAGGATGTACCATACCATCAATGTTCACATCTGTTTTCTCCAGTGCCCCAAACAATGACTGGTACAAAGTAATGCTATGTGAGTGTTTACTGAATAAATAGCAGAATGAATGAATAAGTGGTGCTAAGTGCTAATAGGGGGATGAGTTAAATAAAATTGGGAGAGAATGGTCTCCTTCCTAGATGTGATCAGGGAGGGCTTCTTTGAGAAGGGAAATTTTGAGCCCTGAAGGAAAAGGAAGACAAGTCAGTCATATAAAGAGTTAGGGAGGAAAGAACTAGTGCAAAGTCCCTGAGGCAGGAAGCAACCTGGTGTGTTGGAGAATCACTGTGAGGCTGGATTTTGTAGGAACTTGAAGGCCCCATACCAGGACTTTGGATCACAACATAGGTGTCCTGGAGGGTTTTAAACAGAGGCATTAAGGAGTCAAATTAATATTTTAAGTGATTCCCTCTGGAGAATGTCTTATAGGAAGGTAGGCATGGCAGCCAGGAGAGTGTTAGGAGGGATTGGATTTGCCTAGGTTGGAGCCAATGGGGAGTGAGAGGATTCAAGATATTTTAGGAAGAGGATGGCAGTTTGGGGAGCTAAGAGCCCTACTTGTTCAACCCCATTGTGAAGATGTCACCTACAGTCTGACTTGGGAGTGTCTTGGGGTTTGGGGCTAGGACCCCAGGAGGGTTGAGGAGGTCGCTCTTAAAGTTTCTCCTTAGTCACCCAACTCCAGACTCCAGGAGATCCAGAAGCTGGTAGGTAAGGGGGCTGTGGCTGGTAAGGTCATTCCATGCCAGGCTCTGGGCTGGGGGGCCTAAGGCAGCTTAGACTAAGTCTGGCACTTGGGGAGGGTCCTTTCTCTCTTTCCCTCCAGCAAATCTAGGTTCCTGGTCTCTCCTCAGGCTTTCTCCAGTGCTTCCACTGGAGAACATTCATGGACATTCCTGGACATTCCTCCAGCCGAGAAGTGGGCCTAGGTCCCTGTCCCTGAACTTGGGCCGTGGGCCTCTGAGAGAACATAGTGGACCTGATGCTGGGCCAGATTTCAGGGCTAGGCCTTAAGAAACTGGCAGCTTCTGCTTCCTGTCTCCTGGGATGTGTGCTCTGGGAACCCAGCCATCAGGCTGTGAGGGAGCCAAACGGTTGCAAGAAGAGGCCGAGGCCTCGTAGAGTTGTCTCAGTTGACACCCCCACCTGAGGTTCCAGCTGACAGCCAACACCACTGTCCCAGAGGAAGCAAATCACTCTGCTCAACATGTGAGTCACCTCAGCCCACAGTGAGAAATGAGCTGTCCCTACCCACTGCTGCCCAAACTACAGATCTGTGAGCAAAATCAGACTGTTGTTGCTTTAAGTCACTTAAGCTTGAGGTGGTTTATTCTACAGCAGTGGTTAGCTGGGACACCAAGTTTCACCTCTCCAGAACCATCCATCATCAGATACCACTGAGTCTTCCTTCTAAAAACCCCTGAAATCCATCATTTTCTCTCCACCTTCCTTCCCGCCCCATCTGTCACCTGGACAACATTAGCATCCTAATAGATCTCCTCCCACTCACTCGTGACACTCAGCATCTGTTTCATACACGGCATTCCAGAGAACTTGCTGGAAAGTCCATCTAATTTTTCCCAATCCATTTGTACACACTTGAACACTCAGTGGTTCTCCACTCTCCTAACATCCCTCCACTCTTTGGGTGCCAACTACACAGGCCACTCTTCTCTTCCTACAGTGCCCCATGTACCCATTGCTCTGCAACAGAGGAATCTCCATAAAAAGGAAGGTTCCCTGCCCCACCTTCCCGAGTGGAGGGGCTGAGTGGCCAGCTGAGGATATGGAAGACTTGGAGTTGACACAAAGGAGACTCAGGAAGGAGAGACACAGATGGGGAGAGACACATGAAACAGAGAGACATGTGAAGGAGGGTGCCTTTGCTTCTGGGCCTTGGACTTGCACCAGGGACTTGGGAAACTCGGAGGAGACAGTTGGAGTCAGGGCATTTGCAAGAGACGTGGGTGAGAAACCTGTGGGGAGGATGAAAACAGGAAACTTTAATTTGATTGGTATTTTGATTTTGCTTCTTTCATCCCAGACTTACCTGGCCCCTTCTGCCCCTTTTCTGTGATTCTCCTCCAGAAGGTGCCTGAGACTTGTGGCAAGCCTTCGGGCCTCAGTGGCCCTGCTTGGGGCCAAGCCTGTTTGGCTGGGCATTTACCCACGAGGCGATGGGTAACTTCGGGTGTTTTATTGGGAAACTACATCCTTTCACTTCTTCCCTCTCTATGCACAATCATTCTACAAAAGATCTTTCTTCCTAAGAGTAAGCTTTATTTTGATGTGGCAGCTGGCAAAATTACTTTAGATCCTACAAGTTTGGGGTCCCTGGGGTGTCCCTCAGTCTGCCTGTTAATGGCCCAAGTGCCTTTGCACATGCTGCTCCCACTCCCTGAGATGCCCCCCTCCACCCACCTCATTAACTTAGGTCTCAGCTCAAATGTCACCTCTTTCATGAGCTGCCTGTAAGTCGGTGGTTCTTGAAATGGGGTCCCTGCCCAGCGTCAGTGGAAATGCCAAGTCTCAGGATCAAACCCAAAGTTAAGGAATCAGAAATTTAGGAGCTGGCAGTCTGTGTTTAACAAGCCCCACAGGTGGTTCTGATTCACGCACTTGAGAACTATTGCTCAACATACTCAGTTTGGGTCAGGACTTTCTCTTCTTCCAAGTGCGAATTCCTTGCCTTCAGAGAACTGCATTTCTGATTACACTGGTCTTGTGAGATGATCCGGTGTCTGGCTCTCCTGGTAGACCAGAGCACAGGGGCATTAATTTTTTGCTCCTTTCTGCTCCCCATTCCTGTGTGCCTGACTTACATCTGGAGCTTAGGGGATTGTGAAGTCAAGAATGACACAGTGAAGGTTTTCTATGACCCAGAAGACTGGGTAAAGGAGGAGTCAGAGTCCTCGGTGGTTTTTGCAGGTCTTTTATTGGGATTTACCCAGTACACAACAGGCAAGGGTGCTGGGGGGCCGGGAGGCTGGCAGTCCTCCTAGCCCCCAGCAAATCCTCATTCTATCTGGGCTCTCCGGTGATCTCTGCTTCTGCTTCTTTGCTTCTTTCTTGGCTTCTCTTTCGGCTTCTACTGGTGCCACACTTAAAAGCCCAGTCTTAGCCCAGGTGAATCCCATCTACCTATGCCCACACCCTACTCCACGTGCCCGCCATCAGGCATGCATTCAGGACAAGGATCCATCATCTATCCTGACGGCGGGAGGGCAGAAAAGCCTGACATTTTTTCCTTACCCTACAGGGATATAGGTTGAACAAATAAATATTGACTGTCAGCCTCCAAGTGGAGTGAGCTGTCCTGCCCTGGATGGCAGGAGGGTAATGGACTGGGAGATCTGGGATCCTAAAAGTAGCCTAGGGGAAGGTAAGAAATTTTAAGAAACTTGGGGAGGCTTCAGACCCTGCTAGAAAGGCAGCTGTCCAGCTAGGTCGAGGGGGTTAGTCAGAGTCAGAGCTTCCCCTTAGTCCGCCCCTCCCCCACACCGAGCAGCTCTCAACTTATTCCTATCGACTCCTGATGAACCAGGCCTTGTTTGTGGGCTTACCTGTTTTGTGTAATTTAATACAATGAGCTTCTGAGTTGAGAATCATTAACATTTCCATTTTACAGATTGGAAACCAAGATTCAATGGCCAAGGTGAGGGCAAGGAGAATTTCCACCCAGGTTGTATGCCCCTTGTCATTAGTGCCCAGGCAAGAACACTCAGGTGGGTCAGGAGAGTAGAAACACGTGTGCAGGGGCCCAGAAGGATGTGTGGAAGCTCATCTGCCCTTCCAACAGGCAGCCTTGGCCAAAGTGGATAGTGGGCCTGTGAGGTAGAAGACTCAGTGTGGCCAGACCTTCCCAACTTTTCAAGAGAAACCAGAAAAGTGAATTTTTAATATAAAATCTCTGTCTCTTAAACCCAAGTGCTTCTAGAGACCAGATATTGCCTGTGGCAGATGACAATGGATGACAAATTGAGGGGATAAATGGCAACAGAGACAAGCAAGGCAATACCACAGTGTATGTGTGTAAGGGCAGGAATGACCACAGAGCAGCTTTTCTGATCCCATGCAGACCGGGTAAAGGAGGAGTCAGAGTCCTCAGCGGTTTTTTGCAGGTCTTTTATTGGGGTTCAGCGGGTACGTGGCAGGCAGGGATGCTGGGGGGCTGGGAGGCTGGCAGTCCTCCCAGCCCCCAGCAAATCTTCACTCTATCTGGGCTCTCTGGCGTTCTCTGCTTCGGGCTTCTTCTTTCGGCTTCTACTGGCGTCCCCGTGACACCCCCTTAAAAAGCACAGTCTTAGCCCAGGTGTACCCACTTCAGGTGCCCGCCATCAGGCATGCATTCAGGACCACAGGGTTCCCTCATCTATCCTGATGGCGGGAGGGCAGAAAAGTCTGATTATTTACCTTACCCTACAGTCCACCCCTTCAGGGTTTTCTGCCATATAATCCACACATACACAACTTTGTTTCTTAGCAAACACAAACAATGCAGCCATGGCCCACAAAAGCAAATACATCACAATATAACAAAATACAACAGAACACAAATAAGTCCAGGCAGGGCCCCAACCTAGTGCAAAAGACAATTATTGGTACCAGCAGATGAGCCACCAAATCTGCTGCCAAAGGCACTGCTCATACGAGGGAGGGGAACCACTCACAGCATCTACTGCAACACGCCAGGAGCCGTCAGGCTTCCTGGCCTTCTCTGGCTGTAGTCTCGGCTACAAGCCACACACCGCATCCACCCCCAGGATGCACTAGCTCTGGGATTGGCGATTCTATTCTGTTGGGGGTAATCGTCAACCCTCAGGGTTTCTGTCTGCAGTCGCTCCAACACTCGGCCTTCATAGCCACCAATACGACTCGCAGACCCCTGCACTCAGGCCAACCCACTGCACAAGCACATGGGTCAGAGATCCAAATTCTACATGCGGCTTGGGCTCCACCCCAAGCCACGTTCCCCACCCATCCCCCAAGGACGGGTTCCTCAGCAACTCACCCTCACTCAACAACGAGCAGGGCATCACCCACAGGTGATTTTACGAGACTCACAGGTCTTCAGCATACCCAGGCTGCTTAGCAGCTGCTCAGGGCTTTCCAAACTTAGCATCAGCACCAGCTTTTGCCTTCTCAGTTGCCTTTTCTCCTCTGCCTGGCTGCTGGGCATACACAGGCTGCTTTGGCCACCAAGGCCTGCTGGCCACCCCCAGATTCCCATCTCCTGGGGTTTACAAACAAAACTGTTCCACCCCCAGGGTCCCAAAACATATCAACCTGCAAGGTCCTCCGCCTTCTGGCGGGATTGTCAGTCCATGTCCATCAGTCAAAGTCCATTGGCCTCTCCCTGCATCAGCACTGGCGAGCTCCAAATTGTGGTCCTCTCCTCCCCGAAGATTCTGCTGCCTCAGGGGTCGTTGGCTGGTCCTTTCGGGTGTCGTTGGCTGGTTCTCTCAGGCGTCTCCTCATGCCAGGTCTTGTCCTGTAGCTCCTGGACCTTGTCCCTCTCCTGTGCTGCCATGATGCCTCCAGCGTAGTCACAGGCAAAGTCTGTGTAAAGGCAGGACAGGACACAGTGCAGGTTTTCTGATCCCATGCAGGCCGGGTAAAGGAGGAGTCAGAGTCCTCAGTGGTTTTGCAGGTCTTTTATTGGGGTTCACCAGGCATATGGCAGGCAGGGGTGCTGGGGGGATGGGAGGCTGGCAGTCCTCCCAGCCCCCAGCAAATCCTCACTCTATCTGGGCTCTCTGGCGTTCTCTGCTTCTCTCTTGGCTTCTCTTTCAGCTTCTGCGGCTGCTACTGGTGCTGCTGCTGGCGTCCCTGTGACGCCGCCCTTAAAAGCACAATCTTAGCTCAGCTGAATCCCATCTACCTATGCCCACACCCTATTCCAGGTGCCCGCCATCAGGCATGCATTCAGGACAAGGATCCATCATCTATCCTGATGGCAGAAGGGCAGAAAAGCCTGACATTTTCTTTACCCTACAGTCTGTTACTCCTTAGTCCCTCCAGATGTTCGGAGGGCTCCATACCCCTCTGCATGGATCATCTTGCCGACTTACGCCAATTGTAAGGGCAGAACTGGACACGGTGCAGGTTCTCTGATCCCATGCAGACCGAGTAAAGGAGGAGTCAGTCCTCAGTGGTTTTTTGCAGGTCTTTTATTGGGATTCAGTGGGTACGTGGCAGGCAGGGGTGCTGGGGGGGCTGGGAGGCTGGCAGTCCTCCCAGCCCCCAGCAAATCTTCACTCTATCTGGGCCCTCTGGCGTTCTCTGCTTCTGCTTCGGGCTTCTTCTCTTTCGGCTTCTACTGGCGTCCCCGTGACACCGTCCTTAAAAAAAGCACAGTCTTAGCCCAGGTGTACCCACTTCAGGTGCCCGCCATCAGGCATGCATTCAGGACCACAGGGTTCCCTCATCTATCCTGATGGCGGGAGGGCAGAAAAGCCTGATTTTTTACCTTACCCTACAATGTGTAAGGTCTCTGACCTGCCACAACCTGGCTATGTCAGAGTCACTACTCCCGCCATCTCTGGGACAGTCCTAAATTTAGGATCCACTCTCAGTGGGATGCAATGACCCTGACCTTGGCATCTCTGCCTGCACATGACCAAGAGCCCAGTGGACATGGGCTGGGTCTGCCTGGCCACAACGGAGTTCCCGGCCCTGGACCTGCATGCAGATGGCACTCACTGAATGCTTGCTGATGGAAGGACAAATGTAGGCCCTTCTGAGCGGGCCCCCACCATTGTGCTGACTCCTCCCCCTTCCCCTGCCCAGGGTTAAAAGCCTACAGCTGGGTGCCCCTTTGGAGGTTGGTTCCCTTGGAGCTCCAGCATGGCTGCCGCCAGCCCTGTAAGTCCACCTACCTACCTCTCCTGTAGTGAGGGACAGGGCTAGGGTGGTAGGATCCCAGCAACCCCACCTCACTTCTTTTTTTGGTCAGGTCAGGGAGGCTGAGGGTAAAATCCAAGACTACAAGGAAGAGGAGAAAGAGGAAAAGGAAGAGCAGGCAGTTGCGGGGGCGTCCATAGTAGAGGACTCCCAGGCTGCAAACTCTCCCTGGGATCCACCGTCCCTGAGGAAGGCCCGAGATGAGGGGCCCTCAGGAATCAAGCTGGAGCTGCACCCACTGCTGACCAGGTATGGCAGGCCCCTGCCTTGTGGCCTTGGATGACCCCTTCTTCTCTAGGCCCTGGCTCTCCTTCCAAAAAGGCCAGAGTTGGCCTAAGACTGTGTCTTTGTTTGCCCTTCTGGCCTTAACTCAGCTGAGAGTCCGGGTTAAACACTGGTCCTTCAGGATAAAGGACTCTAGTCAACTTGCGGGGAAGAGGGGGTGTCCTGTGCTCCCAAATTCCACTTCCCAGTGTGTCTTTGGAAGGGAGGGCCCTGGCTGCCAGCCCAGGTGGTGTCAGGGTGGGCCTGGAGACCCTCTTCTTCCTGTTTGCACCGCTTCCCAGGTGGGCTCTGTGGTTCTCCAAGAATGACCGCACCCGGGCCTGGAGGGAAAACCTGCACCTGGTCACCAAATTTGACACCGTAGAGGACTTCTGGGCGTGAGTGTCTGGCCCTCGAAAGGCTGGGGCCTGGAGGCTGTGAGCTGGAGGTCCTTCCCAGTGGGCTCCCTCCAGAGGGCTGCTCCTGACACAGTTTTCCCAGCCCTTTCTTAGTTCTTTTAGCATTTGCTGAGATTGGGGCTTGGTAGGCTCTGTCTGAGGTGAGGGGTCATGGGTCCCCTTGAAGTCTTCTGGGGGCTTACAGATTTGGGAGAAGCAAGACCTTGATCTTGACTCTGCTGCTCCATGGCTTCGTGATCCCCGGCAAATTGCTTCTCCTCTTTGAGTTGGTCTCAGGCATAAAGTGAGGATTAGATGGCTTCAGAGTGTCCCTGGTTGTCAAGGGAGGGAATCTGAAAAGTGCTGGAAGAGCCCTCACCTGGGGCTCCAGAGGCAAACCCCTCATGGGGGTCTAAAATCCTCTCAGGGTTCGGATGGTCAGGGAAGGCTCAAGGGAGAAGGTGGAATGGGAGGGTCTGTGAAGTAGGAATGGAAATTCAGCTGGGCTCAGTGTGACAGACGCTTAGAGGTCTGAGGTGGGTGGACAGCAGTGGGAGGCTGCTAAAAAGTTGAGGGGTGATGCCATTTGGAAGTAGGCCCTAAAATGTGCAGATGTTCACCCTGGGCTGGTGGCCTCTCTCCAGGATATACAGCCATATCAAGCTGGCCAGTAAGCTCTCTTCAGGCTGCGATTATGCCCTGTTCAAGGTAAGCTCTGCTTCTGTGTGCCCCCGCCCCTGCCCTGCCTCCACGGGGCGCTGAAGGCCTGACTCTTCCCAGCTGCTGCTGCATCTTTTCCTGACAGGTGGTTTGGGGGTGGGGCACCATGGACAGCTTCCCTCAGAGCTGTGTGATTTCTGACAGGAGGACAGGCTATGCAGAAGCTTAGACAAAGTGTCAGAACTGAATTTCACCTGGAAGGACCTTTAAGGATCTGGAAGGGGTTGAAGGTTGAGGGATTACTGGAAAAGGGGGTCAAGGAAGGAGCCTAGGTTTCTGGCCTGGCTCTGTAACTAGGGACATGCATCAGAATTGCACAAGCACACTCAGCAATGTCCAGACCCATCCCTGAACTTGCTGACCCTGTGGTGGGCACACGGGCCCCTGGCGTTGGTGTTGCACTATCTCTCTGGGTGATGTGTATGCACCCAGCTGCACCTACACAGCTGCTATGTCCAGGCTTGGTCTGTCCAGAGGCTTCCTTAATCACTTCCGTTGAACTCTTGTCTCAAGGAACTTGGTTCAGTAAAGGACACACTCCTGCAAGACTATAAAAAGTGACAAATGTTGAGGCTCATGGGTCTGTGACATCTCAGAGTAGGGTCTGGGGAACTGTACCTTGTGGTGGAACCTACTTGTACAGAGGGGACAGAGGCAAGAGAGAACCTGGTCTGTGGAGGCCTATTGAGGGATTGGAGCAGGACCAGGGAGGGCATGTAGGCCCCCACTGCTCTTTGAACAAAGGGAGGCAGTAGATTGTCCTCCTGTCCCCCAGGATGGCATTGAGCCCATGTGGGAAGACAGCAAGAACAAGCGGGGTGGCCGCTGGCTGGTCAGCCTGGCCAAGCAGCAGCGCCACATCGAGCTGGACCACCTGTGGCTGGAGACAGTGAGTGGGGGAGCCAGGGGTAGGTGGGCCCCCCAGGAAAGGGGCTGGGCTGTGGTGGGCCCCTTTATGGCAGTGGTCTCAAGGCTGGTGGGCCAGTCCCTGTGCCCTGGCTGGAGCTCTTGCCATGCCCCCCTTTGGGCCCCAGTTGCTGTGTCTGATCGGGGAGAGCTTTGAGGAGTACAGCCAGGACGTTTGTGGGGCGGTCATCAACATTCGCACCAAGGGGGACAAGATTGCCGTGTGGACGAGGGAGGCTGAGAACCAGGCCGGCGTGCTGCATATTGGGTGAGGGGTACCTCTGGCACCGGGTGGGGGCTGGGAGAGAAGGTGAGTGGAGGGTGACTTGGCTGTAGAAATCTCTGGAACTCTACATGTTGCCTCTTCTCTCTTATGCACCTGTATAAAGGGTTTGGTATCAGATTCCAACTTCTAGCAGAACTTTTTGGCATTAAACAGTGGTATTTTGGTTAAGATACAAAGCGGGAGTGACTATGGCTAGAACTGGGTAGGAGATCTGGGTAAAGGACCCAGGGTCCCTGGTCCTATTGAGGACCCCCGCTGATCAGCTGTCTCATTTCCTCTCTACTCCCCACCCAGGCGTGTCTATAAAGACCATCTAGGCCTCTCCACAAAGACCATCATCGGCTACCAGGCCCACGCAGACACGGCCACCAAGAGCAACTCCCTAGCCAAGAACAAGTTTGTGGTGTGAGGGGCCCCTGAGTTTCTCACTGTTCTTTGTGTGTGTGTGTGTGTGTGTGTTGAGGGACTGGACTGCACCATCCATCCTAGGCGGGACTGGGGGGCAGATAGCCTGGCTCTTACGGTCCCTGGTTCCACCCTAGGGTGGGGTGAATCACTAGGGAAAGTAGGAAGATGAGACGAGAGAATTCTATGATTCCACACTTATTCTTTGCTCACCTGGTAAGAGGGTTAGGTGGCCTGAGGGTCAGATTTCCATTTTGGGAAGGGATGGGTTTTGAGATCACTGACACAGAACTGGATGGGGTCAGGGATGGAGTGGGTGCTGCTCCTCTTGGTCATCATTCTGCTTAAAGACCTTTGTGAGTCGTCTCATGAGATGTGCAGTCTTGGAGCTCACCCTGTTTCCTGTACCTTCCCGCCCTGTGGGTGGGTCTCCAGGTCCCTGGGTCCCCCTCCTCTCCTTTCCTTTCCCATCCCAAGGGCTGGAAGATTAGAGACAGAACATCATCATCCTATATGCGGAGATGTGGGAAAGTGAGAACACCCCTTTCCTCAGCTGTGTACAGGGATGTCTGGGCCTTGCCAGGGGCTGAAGTGGAGGTGGGTAGATGAGGGCCTTGGCTCAGTTGAGAGCGGGGCTAGTCAGGCCTCACCCTGGTTCCGCCGGAGGCGGGATAATGTGAAGATGAAGTTTAATAAGCCCTTTCTGATCTGTTCTAAATAAATACTTTTGAATAAAACTGGAGTGGTTTTTTTTTTCACATTTTATTTAAATTTTATTTTTTATTATATTCCCCATATAATTACAACCCCCTTATTTTTTTTTTTTAAATTTTTTTTTTCTTTTATAGAGGCATGTTTTATTTATTTATTTGTTTGTTTGTTCGTTTGTTTCGTTTATACATGCACTGGGTACAGTCAGAAGCGCGGGAGGGTGAGAGAATTCACCAGAGCCAGAGCGGGGAGCAGAGCAGGCAGAAGGACCGAAGTACACTGCTGAGGGGAGCAGCGGGCAGCAGGAGAGGTCTGCGTGCCATGTGGGACCCTCCTCTGGTGGCCGGGGAGCAGCCGGGGATCGAACCAGCTCTGCAGAGGCTGCGGGCAGCTTCGCAACCCAGCACTCAACCACTGCGCCACCGGGGAGGCCCACAACCCCCTTATTTTGACCCCAAGCCCTCCTTTCCCCGCCCCCCACTCCCCATAGAGTGTCTCTGGTTCATAGTTGTTTGTTGATTTTGATATTTTCTTTCTTATAGTTATTCTTTTTCCTGGTCCCTTGTTTAAGTTTTCTAGATTCCTGCTATGAGTGAGACCATCCAGTATTTTTCTTTTTCTTTCTGGCTTATTTCGCTGAGCATGATCCCTTCCAGCTCCATCCATGTTGCTGCAAATTGCATGTGTTTATCTTTTTTGAATGCTGAGTAATATTCCACGGTGTATATGTACCACATCTTTTTTATCCAGTCATCTATTTTTGGGCATTTGGGTTGTTTCCAAAGCTTAGCTATTGTAAACAGTGCTGCTATAAACATAGGTGTGCAGGTGTTCTTTGGAATTGATGTTTCTGTGTCCTTTGGGTAAATACCTAGGAGTGGAATTGCTGGATCATATGGAAGCTCTATGTTTAGTAGGTCCAGAAATCTCCACACAGCTCTCCATAGTGGTTGGACCAGTTTGCACTCCCACCAGCAGTGCAGGAGAGTTACTTTTTCTCCACAACCTCGCCAACATTTGTTGTTGCTAGTTTTTTTAATATGTGCCATTCTCACTGGTGTGAGATGGTATCTCATGGTAGTTTTGATTTGCATTTCCCTGATTACAAGTGATGTTGAACATTTTTTCATATGCCTGTTGGCCATTTGCATTTCCTCTTCAGAGAAGTTTCTTTTTAGCTCTTCTGCCCATTTTTTGACTGGGTTATTTTCTTTGTTTTTGTTGAGTCTCATCAGCTCTTTGCAGATTTTTGTGATCAGTCCTTTAACATTCGTGTTGGGTGCAAAAATGTTCTCCCAGTCGGTGGGGTTTCTCTTTGTTTTGGTTATTGTCTCTTTTGCTTTGCAGAAGCTCTTTAATTTGATGTAGTCCCAGCTGTTTATCTTTGCCTTCACTATCACTGCTTTGGGTGATGTGTCTGTAAAGATGTCTTTGATGTGCATATCATGTAGTGTTTCGCCTACATTTCCTTCTATGTATTTTATGGTTTCAGGTCTTATGTCTAGTTCTTTAATCCATTTTGAGTTGATTTTTGTGTATGGTGTTAGGTAGTAGTCAAGCTTCATTCTTTTGCATGTAGCGACCCAGTTTTCCCAGCACCATTTATTGAACAAACTTTCTTTGCTCCAATGCATATTCTTTGCTCCTTTGTCAAAGATTAGTTGACAGTAAATCTGTGGGTTTATTTCTGGATTTTCTATTCGATTCCTGTTGGAGGTGGCCACCCCGCGTAGTGAGAAGAAGGGCTTTGACCCGAGTCCCTAAGGCATGTGAAAACACATGTGTCTCAGAGGAAAACCTCTGAGTGACAGAACTTGGTGTTGAGGGCCTGGAAAGTGACCTGCGTGGAGTCAGGCTTCTACATCTCCACAGTCTGAAAATAACAAAATGGAGAGACCCTGCACAGTGAGCAGAAGGGCCTTGACCCAAGTCTTTAAGGCATGTGAAAACACATGCATCTCGGAGGAAAACCTCTGGGTGACAGGACTTGGTGTTGAGAGCCTGGAAGTGACCTGCGTACATCTCCACAGTTTGAGAATAACAAAAATAATGAGCGAACTTCCCAGGCTCTGGCTAGGGGGCGATAAGATTATGTGCGTGAGAACTAACCACCTGGTACCCTACTGTCTGAAGTAAATAGATAATAGTAAGAAAATAGACTAATCACTCATACATGTTATCGTTATATGGTATGCTTTGATGTTACACCTGCTGCAATTAAAATAGTATATAATGAGCACTAAGACAATAAAGATTTACTGCATGCTGGACATGACAGTCCCCCATGTCTGATTTCCCTCACTGTCGTGTCCCAGGTTTGGGCTCACTAGAAGTCCACAGATTCCATTGGTCTGTGTGTCTGTTCTTGTTCCAATACCATGTAGTTTTGATGATTATGGCTTTGTAGTATAGTTTGAAGTCTGGGCGTGTGATGCCTCCATTCCCTTCTTTTTATTTCAGGAGAGCTTTGGCTATTCGGGTGGGGTTTTTGGTGAAAACTGGAATGATTTTTAAGGAGGATTTTTAAGTTGAGTACTATTCTGGTTCCCCCTGTCCCCCACTCCCTCCTTGATCTACTGTCCTGCTTTGTAAGGGCTCATGTGAGACTCCCAGGTACCAAGAAGCCCCGTCAGGGCCCAAGCTGGCATGGTGAGGGAGGGGTAGGACTTAGAGGTGTCCACCACTAAAAGGGGTTAGCCAGGTGGTGGGCTGCATGACCCTGGCACATGGGCAGAACAGGGAGCAGGAGGCGCGGTACTCCTTTGGCTAGGGTCTGAACCTGTATAGGTAGAGTTGAATTCCCATCGAGTGAAACGCACGTATGATGGGCTCAACCAGAACACTGCACCTGTGTTAAAACCACAATCCTGGCACCATCCTCATCCGCTCACCAGCGCAGTTTGCCTCCTCTCAAGAGATGGGCCTCGACAGCAAGGCCCTGGTTGGCGGTTGCTGGTAGAGCCTGGCGGGATCGGGGATCTGGGGGTTCTTCGCCTCTGCGTTTTGCTGAGCTTCTGGCAGTATCTCAGAGTCAAAGCACCCTGGGGAGTGGGCGGCGGCGCGTGGGGCGGAGCCTAAGGCGGGGGCGGAGCATCATGGGGAGGGGCCTGCGGGGGGGGGGTCAGGCCTGGGGCGGAGCTTGGCTCAGAGGCGGAGCCCCTGTGGACGCAGCCTAAAGGGGAATGAGTGGGGGCTGGGGGTGGTGCCGGGGGCGAAATCCCGATTCGGGGGCGGGGCTTGGAGGGCTTGAGTCGTCGGGGGGCGGAGCCTACGAGGGGGCGGAGTCAGGCCTAGAGGCCGAGGGGCGCCGAGGGGACCCTGCGGGGCGAGTGGCTGGGCGGTCCCGGCGCCGGGGGCGGTTCCTACGGGGCGGGCGGGGTCGGCGGGTCCGACCTACGCGCTGTGTGGCTGCGGCCATGAAGCCGCAGCCGCCGGGCTAGGCCCCGGCCGGCTCCAGCCCAGGGCCGCCCGCGGAGGGCCGAGCCCGGTCTCCGGCTCCGGTCGCCGGGCCGGCGGGCGGCGGCTCATCATGCCCGGCAAGCATCAGCACTTCCAGGAACCCGAGGTCGGCTGCTGCGGGAAATACTTCCTGTTTGGCTTCAACATTGTCTTCTGGGTGAGCGCGGGGTGGGTTCCGGGCCCTGTGGTGGGGGTGGCGGAGATGGCGGTTCTGTCCCCCCCTTGGTGAAGACCACCCCTTGTCATAGGGCTTAAGGCCGTCCCCTCACACCTTTCTCCCACCCCGCGCGCCACCTCCATCCCCCCCCCAGGGAACCGCGATGGGGCCTGAGAGGCCGGGGTTGCAGGGGGCGGGTCCCAGCCCCCGCGGGTGTAGGGAGGGAATGGGGAGTCCCCTCTGTTTTCTCTTGGCCCGATGGAGAAAGGGACGGTGTTTCCTTGCAGGCCACAGGGGTGTGCTCGGTATGGGTCGACCCTATCACACCCAGCCCCCCTCTGACCCTGGGGCGTGGGTGCGCATGGAGCCCCACCCCTTGTTTAGCCCCTGGGGAGGGTTTTCGGGAAGGGAAGGGCCGGGAGGGAGGAAGCCTCCTACTGAGAGGTTTGCCCAGAGGCACGGCCTATTGCCCAGGGTGGGAACGAGGAGGAGGGGCTCCCGGAACTGACCCTGGGGAACGGAATTCACCATTTCACAGCTAACAGAACGGAGGCTCCAGGGCTGGGCTGTCCCTGCTTGGTGAAGGAAGCTGCTGGTGCCCCTCCTAGGGTGGCATCTGTGCTCCTGAGCCCTGCCAAGTCATCTTTCCCTGCTCCCTCCCCCGTCCCACGTCTCCCGGGCTGCTGCCTCTGCAGTCTACTCCAAATGCCAGGTTCATTCAGTTTCCTTCAACAGGATTGGGGAGACTGCCCTCTGCCCACATGCTGCTTGCAGCAGTGGGGGTTGTCCTTTGGCCACAGCAGTGAGTGCTTTGCTCACCAGGGCGTGGGTGATGTGCATAGAGCACTGATCTGAAAATTTGGAGGCCTGGGCTGTGAGTTAGTACACAAGTGACTAATCTGAGCTTCAGCTTCCTTGCCTGATGGTGGTAGTGATGGTGGTGGGGCTATAAAGCAACCTGCCCCTGGGGTTGTTAGGCAGGTTAAATGAATTCTAACTTACTGTCTTCTCACAATTTATTCTCTAAATTTCAGTGATGAGGGAAGAGGCACAGAGAGGTTAAGTCATTTAACGTAGAGTCACACTAAGTGCAAAGCAGAGGTGACTGACTGTCCAAGCGCAAAGGGTGTCAGTGAGGCAGAGCTTTAAGCTGAGGGAGCCCCCTAATGCCAATGGAAGACTAGCTTGAGGGACTCAGCTTGTCACAGCCCCTCCCCTTTACTCCCCTTCCCCACCAGCTTGAAGGAGGTTGTGGGCCGAGAGCTTGAGTTTTACTTTTACCTGAGGGCAGTGAGGGCTTCAATGCAGGGAGGTGGATATGATCTGGCTTTTGTTTTAGAGGCACATTTGTTTGGCTGGGATGGGGATGCCGGGGCAGGATTTGGAGGTAGGGACTCTAAGGGTGGAGAGCTGCTGCAACTTTGTGGTGATGGAAGGGTGCAAAAGGGGAGGAACGTTCCAGGAGGAGTGAGGGGGCTGAATTGACAACACTGGACCACTTGGGGGTGGAGGAAAGGTTTAAGATTTGGGTCAAGGTAGTCTGAGGGAGGCACCTATGAAACTAGCCCCGAGACTTTTTGGTAATAAGGGTAAAGTGGATGTGGAATGGACATTGCTGTTTTCCCGGTCAGAACCTTCTAGTGGTTTCTCACTTGGATATGGTCGAGATTTCTGCCTGAGGTCTCTGTACCCAGTGGAGTGTGCCCCTGCCACTTTTCATTTTGTCCCTTGCCAAACATGCTCCTTTCTCGGGGCCTTTGCCTGAGGTCCCTTCACCTGGAATTCTCTTCTCACTGCACTTTTTCATCATTCAGATCTCAGCTGAATTGTCACTACTTTCCCTAACGCCCTCTTCGAAGAATGCCCCCAGTGTCCCCAGTCACTCCCACTGCATCACCTGTTTGACTTTCTGTAAAAGATCTTGGGATCTGAAATTACCTTGACTGCTCACAGTGGACTTCCGCCACTGGAGGGTATGCTCCCTGAGGGCTGTCAGCTAATCCTGTTCATTGGTTTGGAACTGAGCATTTAGAAGAGAGCCTGAGACATGGAGGTGTTTCTGCAGCAGGCAGGCAGATGTAGGGGTATGGGTCAGGAAGAGGTCTGGGCGGGGGGCATCTGGGAGATGGAAAATGAGAGTGAGGAGGAAGAAGGGCATATGTTGGAGATGGAATCTCAGGAGGTCAAGTGCATGAGGCAGGTGGAACAGAGCCTCCTCCTAGGGAGGCTGAGAAGTGACAGAGGAGGAATGGCATTGAATTAACCGTGAGGGGTTCTGGAGGGAGAAAGCGTAGTCAGGTGGGCTGAGTCAGGAGTGATATTTGGTTTCACATCCCAGACACTGCCTGGGGAGCGAAAAGACTTTTTTAGAGAAAGAGTATAGCAATGGGCAGAGCTTGGGCCAGTGGGAGCAGTGGGAGAGAAAGATTGAAAGGAGTTTGGTCTGGAGTGGAGTTGACCTTGGCTGTGTGCTGAAGGGGAGAGGTCTGAGGGGTGGTAGTCCTAGGCTAGGCAGGAGGGTGCACTCTAGATGTCCAAGAGGCTGCCCTGGTCATGCAGCTGGTCTGGTCCTCAGTGCGCTCAGTGGGGCAGTAGGGCTGGTGAGGGGGTTCAGAAAGCCTAGGCAGAGCTGTGGCCACATGTTTTCCAGGTATAGCCATTGGTTCAGGCTGGGGTCTCTGATCTGGGCCCTGCTCTGTGTTGGGATTCCTTGTCATCGAGGGGCTTTGGTTTGAGCTACGAAAATGAATTCTGGTGGATAGAGGTTGAGAGTGTGGGGTAGATGGCAGTCACAGAGGTGCAGGGCAGCAGGATGGCCAGACTAGGGAAGGGGCAGAGAGTAGGCTAGGGCCCAGAACCCCAGCACTGGCCTGTCAAGGGTGTAGAGGTTCAGGATGCTACTGCTGCCGCTCAGTGGAAACATCTCTGCTGCTCTTGCTCTGCTTCTGATTTTTAGGAAGAGATCTCTGATGTCCATCCTGGGACTAGGGAGGGTTCAGTCTTCCAGATGAGGTCCCGGGGGAAGAAGCACTGAGATGTATTCTTTGCAAGGTGGAAAGTCCCAGGATCTCATTTACAACCCTACCCCTCTTCCTCTCTCTTCCCCTGGCTTCCTGAAAACTCAGTGTGGGGGAGGGGGAGGATTTGTGCTGGGGTGGGGAAGACTGAGGAGGGTCTTATGCAAGTGCCCCAGCCCTCAACTCTGCTGATGCTCTTGCAGGTGCTGGGAGCCCTGTTCCTGGCCATCGGTCTCTGGGCCTGGGGTGAGAAGGTAAGGGGTGGGGCTGCCTGTGGGTCAAGATGGTAGGATAGTCAGCCCTCCACCCACAATTGCCTCTGCTACCCCCACCCCACAGGGTGTTCTCTCCAACATCTCAGCACTGACAGATCTGGGCGGTCTGGACCCCGTGTGGCTGTTTGTGGTGGTCGGAGGTGTCATGTCGGTGCTGGGCTTTGCCGGCTGCATTGGAGCCCTCCGGGAGAACACCTTCCTGCTCAAGTTTGTGAGTACCCCCTAAGCGCCCCCATCTAGATCTGCTTGGGAACCCAACCTCCTCCCCTTCACTTCTTGCATCACTTGATATAGTCTGTGCTTAGTAATGCAGTAATCATCAGCTTCATGTTATCTGTACTTATAACATCATTTTTGCTCTCAATGACAAACTCAGTGGCCTAAGCAGACAAGGGTATTTATTGGGTTCACAAAGAAGCCCAGAAATATGATGGCTTCAGGCATGTTTGGATTCAGGGCCATCACTGTCACCTGACCTGATCTCTGTTTCTCAGCTCTTTCTCTTTGGGTTGGTTCTGTTCCCCATGGGGTGGAAGGGTGCCCAGGAGTAGTTGGGTGCTGCCTTCATGCTGCCCTCCCGGGAACTACTGGAAAAAGCTGAAGCTCCCTCCCGATTGTACTGCCAGTGACCTTTAATTGTATCTCCTCAGTTCTAATTGGCCATCTTTGGACCCATCCCTGTAGTCTGGGGTGTGGAGGAGGAGATAGAGCTGGGACTGGTGAGCTCCTGGTGCAGGCTCAGCACTTTATCTGGAAGAGTCGGAGCTGGCTCCCTGTGAACCACTACAATTGAAGGTGTATATGAAGGGGTGGTGGCTAGAGACAGGGGAACTGGTAGATAGGTAAGGATGGTGCTCTTTTGCATCATAAGAAATAATATGAACACAATAGAAATGGGGACTCTGGGCCATCTTACATTAGGGTAGGGATGGGAGCTTGGTTCTGGGACACCTTCAGGCCCTGCATCTCTTGACTCCCTACCGCTGTGTGCCCCCAACCCTAGTTCTCCGTGTTCCTTGGCCTCATCTTTTTCCTGGAGCTGGCAACAGGGATCCTGGCCTTCGTCTTCAAGGACTGGATTCGAGACCAGCTCAACCTCTTCATCAACAACAATGTCAAAGCCTATCGGGATGACATTGACCTCCAGAACCTCATTGACTTTGCTCAGGAATACGTGAGTCCAGTATCCATCATGGGCAAGCTGTAGGAGGTACCTACAGGCAGCTAAGGGAGTGAGCAAGTCCCCTGTGTGCCGGGACCATTCCCTGGCTCACCCAGGCCTGGCAGGTCCCAGGGAAGAGGGCCAGGGGCCTCCCTGTCTGGGGGGGAAGCTGCAGGGGCCCAGGATGGGAAAACAGACTAGAGGCCCCAGCAGCTCCTAACACACTTAAGTGAGGATATTTGACATAGAAATATAGATTTCTCCTACTAAACCATGGGTCCACAGAATCAACAGGGGCTGGCATTGCCACTGCCCTCTTTGCCGGTACAGGGGCTCTCTGTTCCCTGCAACAGATGTGGCTGTCCCCACATCTCTGTATCTTATTCTACCCATTGGCCGCCTTCTCTTGTTGCTGTTATTTGGCCTTAACATGTTAAAAGCCCCTGACAGAAGCCCTGCTCTCAGATTTGCAAACCTGATCCCTGTGAAGAAACAGCCTGAGCAGGGCATGAAACCCTGTGCACTTCTGCTCGCACACTGACACGCACGCTCAGTCACGGACCTTTGGTGTTGCCCACCCCCCTTCGGTGCTAAGGTCTGGAGGTGACGCTCTCAACCAGAGCAGAGGCAGAAGTGTAGCCAGGCGCCCAGGATGGGATTGATTTGTTTATTAAACACACACAAGCTCTGGGACAGGTGCTGGGGATTCAAGGTGACAAAAACTGGGGCCAGTCCTTGTGTGGATGGCAGGCTGGGAGGAAAGATGGATGATAAACAAGCAAAACAAAGAAACGTGTGTAAAGTTATCCATTGTGGGAAGAGCTGTCATGGGGAAGGAGAAGGCCTCTGGGGGGTGGTCTTGAAGGAGAGGGAGCACCGATGTGGAGCAGGCAGACGTCGGGTGGTGGCTGGGCAGCGTCCGCCCAGAGCCGCCGGCCATACCTCACTCCCACTGGGCCCATGAGCCCACCTGTGTGCTGCTGAGCTGATTACATCCTGGTGCCACTGAGCTGGCCCCTCAAGGATGACTTTTCAGCGGCCTGTGCTGTGTCAGTGAGTGAAGGCTGTGTGCCCCTGTCCCCTGCTCCATCCTGAGCTTCCTGCTTCTCTGCAGCCTGCGCTGCTCATCAGGGTCCTACCTGGGGAGTAGCCCATGATGTTCTGGGAAGGGGTCGTAGGGATGCAGATGCTGACAGCAGCCTGTATGAAGTGGAGTGGGACCATTGTGAGGGTGACTGGAGTACCCTCCTGTCCCTGCAGAGAGGAAGAAAGGAGGTCATCAGAAAATCTGGGGCAAGTGTGGGGAGACCTGGCACAGACCTGGGGTTCAGTGGTGATTCCCCCTCAGGGGTTGGCTTGGCACCAGCTCCTCAGGGTGCTACCGACCCTACACCAACCTTTTGTCCCCTCCTTCCCTTTTCCAGCCTTTCTTGGCCTGAGAAGCTCAGGAGCCCCTTCCTTGTACCCCTTACTCCCATCATCCAAGGCAGGAGCCTAAAGCTGCCATCATGGCCCCAAGTCTCCGGGGTGTGTGGGGCGGTGTGTCCACTGGTCTAGCTGCCTCTAGACCTCCTCCCAGCCCTGTAAGCTCAGACCCACCCCAAACAGGATGCTGCCTGGGTGGACCTGGCTTACTGGGGGCTCTCCTCCCACTCCCTAGTGGTCTTGCTGTGGAGCCCGAGGGCCCAATGACTGGAACCTCAATATCTATTTCAACTGCACTGACTTGAACCCGAGCAGGGAGCGCTGCGGGGTGCCTTTCTCCTGCTGTGTCAGGGACCCTAAGGTATGTGAGGCCTGATGGGGAGGGCAGGGACTGTGCATTGTGCAGCCAGGTTGTTCTGGGAACAACTCACTATAGAGCCATTGTGGCTTGGCCTCTCTCTGGGGCTATGGATGGGGCAAAGGTCAGTTTACATGGAGAACCCCTCCTAGGGGAGCAGTTTGTGTCTGTGGGCAGAACTGAGGCTTATTGTGGTGGGGGCTGTACCTCGGCAGCAAAACCTGTCTGTCAGGAGCCAGCCTGCCGCCACACCCCTGGGCCACTGCACCGGGGTAGGTTTGGGGATTCTCGCCCCTTTATGATTTACCTCAGAGTAGAAGCTTCTCACAGTCACAGTTCACCTGGGACATCGTGGGCCAGGTTTTGCCTGTTCTTGTAAAAACACAAGATTGCAGGATTCTTAAGCAGGAGGCAGCTCAGGATTATGTTTGCAGCTGTGTGCTCCCTGGTGGAGAGGGTGTCGGGGAAAGAGGCAGTCAGTCCTTAGGGATCCTTATTTAAGAGTAGGGGACCTGCACCAGAAACCCCGGTTCCATCTGCTTCCCCCAGAAGTACTGATCCTGTGCTGGGCACCTGGCCCTGTGGGTGGCCCTGCACTGAGTTGCTTGTTTTGTGTCTCCTCAGGAAGATGTCCTCAACACCCAGTGTGGCTATGATGTCCGACTCAAACTGGTAAGGGGACTGGGACAGGATAGCTGGGGCAATGGGATCCTCTCATAGCTCCTGAAGGCCTCAACCATTCTGAGGGGAGGGCTGCCAAGTCCTGGAAAGCATCCAGGCATGTACACTTTGTACTGCCAAATGTGGGGGACGGTGGATCCCTGTGCATCGTCTCCTGTGTGTTTGCTCATTCCAACTCTTTGTTGAGCTCCCACTGGGTGCTCTGAGTTGGCAGAAACATCAGATTCATGCTAATTAGACAGGCAGACAGATCTTAAGGAGTTCCCGTTCTAGTGGAGGGAGAAAGACATGGATAAATTAATGTGATCAGTAAAATGATAATTTCAGCTTAGACCTGGAAGAAAATAAAAGGAGTGGATATGATTGGGGTTGGGCAGTCAGGGAAGGCTTCATGGAAGAGAGGGCATTTTGTGCAATGCCCCCCACGTTAAGGAGCCAGGTGTTCAAGGTGGAAGGACACGCACGCTCAGGAATGCGATTGGGGGAGGTGAGCTTGTCAACCCACTGTGTCTGATGGGCAAGACTGCAGGAGCGTTTCTGCTTAGACCTGAGATGACAAGGCCAGTGTGACACAGACTGGCCTGTGTGTCCCCAGGAGCTGGAACAGCAGGACTCAATCCACACCAAAGGCTGTGTGGGCCAGTTTGAGAAGTGGCTGCAGGACAACCTGATCGTGGTGGCCGGCGTCTTTGTTGGCATCGCCCTCCTCCAGGTACTGCTGGTTGCCCCTGCCTGTGCACTGGCCTTTCTGCCCCTCCAGATGCCTCCCCTCACCTACCATCTGTCTTACAGATCTTTGGTATCTGCTTGGCCCAGAACCTCGTGAGTGACATCAAAGCAGTGAAGGCCAACTGGTGAGGCTGCCACGCTGGCCATGGCCACCTGCCTGGCCTACCCAGGGACCCCCCCCCCCCAACTGTGTCTGATGGGCAAGGCTGCAGGAGCGTTTCTGCTTGGACCTGAGCCCCATGTGGAGCTCATGTATGGGTGTGCTATGTACCCATGGAGAAAGCCGTGTAGCTCTGCCTGGGCAGCCCATCCTAGAGCTGTGTGCAAGGAGGGTGGAGGTGGGGGGAGTGGCGGGCTCTCCATGGGACTAGGAAGGGCACAGCTAAAGGGATATAGGCCAGGTGAAGCGGGAGTGCCCATGGCCCAGGCTGGGACACACTTGTCTGTCCATGGCTGTGCGGGGCAGGTTCTGGGATTGTTGCCCTGGACACTGCCTCCTGCAGCCTCAGAGCTCACTTCTCTACTAGCTGTGACCTTGAGCCTTCTAGGAGCCCACATCAGCCTCCATGTCCCAGACTCTAAAATGGGTCCAAGAATTTTCTCTCCCTTGCTTGCCTCTCAGGATCAAACATGATGATGGCTACAAACTACTCAAATAAACAAAACCTTGAACCCACCATCTCGGAGGTTCTGGCAGCTGCAGGGCCTCAGCAGAGCTCTCCACCCAAGGCCCCGGCTCAGACCCACCTTGCCAGCGTGCTTTCTTTGGTCTGAGGGGTGTATTCATTGGAGCCAACCTTTAAAACTTGGCATATTTCACATAAAAGTCCAGTCCCTGGCTTCTCATGAAGAATGGCCATGTGACCACAGCGGCTCTTCTGTGGCAACTTCTCCTGGGACCTGCACTTCCCCTTTCTGCTCACCCAAGTGCCCTGCCTGACCCCTGTAGACTGGGAGTTGAGCTCCCCCACCTCTGTAGGGTTATTCCTGCAAACTCTCAAGGCTGCTGGGGGCCAAGCCTGGGGTGAAGCATGGGGGTATGAAGTGGAGAGGAGGCATTCAAAAGACCATGGCCTGGGCAGAGTCTGGCCTTGTTGGGGACTAAGATGGATACCAGGGTGCCCAGGAAAGTGGCCAAGGGAAGGGATGGAGGGCAGGAGGGTTTTGGAAGGAAGCCACTGGAATCCAAGCCTTGGCCTTCATGGAGCTGGGAAAATACGGTTTGGAGGGCCATCAGTGGTTGACTCCTGGGCTCATTTGGGATCAATTTCAAAATCGCCCCAGTGGCCTGCAGAGCTGCCTCATGCCCACCAGAGGGCGTGCCGGCACAACATTCTCTGGCTGGCTGCTTTGCTCCAGCAACCTCACCCCTGTACCGCTGGTACAGCTGTGTGCCTGGTGTGTGCACCTTGCTTACTAGTGCTTTGGGGAATTCAAGGACACAGGCTGGGCAGTGCCCTGGGATCCCTCACAGGCGCCGGCCATGGTGATTTATACATGCTACAATAAATGAAGCTCACGGTGTACATGTGTCTTGCATTTTCTGATTTTGAAAGGAGCAGCCTGGCTCAGAGTTGCCAAGTTCTTCCTTTTAGCTGCACGAAGCAGGGAGGGAGTGTGGAGTGACTCTGCTCTGCCCTCCCTGGACTGTCCTGTGTGGATGAAAGGAGGGCTTTGTGTTGGTTCATAGATCTCAAACTGATGTGCTTTGGGCCAGGTAGGTTATATAAATTAATAAAGTAGGACTTTGGGTTGTAAGGCCTTTACAATAAAGTGCCATTTTGACTTTCCTACTGTTAACTAAAGGCAGGCCACAGACACTGCTTTGTGAAGAAAGAACTACTTGCACTATCAAGTTGAAAAATGACAATTGGCTTTGAGAGAAAATAGGGCATGGTGGGGACTATGGCAAAGCACAGAGCCCCATCTAAAGTTGGCAGCTGTCAGTGAATTGTAGCTCATTTCTGTAATGGGGGAATGCAAATCTAATTCTAGAAATCTGGAGAATCCAGACATCCAGATTTTCCTGCAAAATCCGATTTTTAAGTTGTTGGTAATTAATGAAAGATTTTAAAATGCTGTCAATGAAATGAAAGGCCTGGGGACCAGCTTTGGCCCCTGTGCTGCAATAATTCCCACCAGGACCTGGTTGCTGTGCTATTCAGGGGTGCTAGGAACTGCCTCCAGTGAGCAGGGTGTGAGGCACACACCCAGCACCATGGCTTCCAGACAAAAGCTGGGGCCCCTGACGGGCACAGGCTGTTTGTGGTCTATACCCACTACAACCAATGCAGCTCATGGTAGTGTGTGCGTGTTTTGTGTTTTCTAACACCTTTCATTTGCCCCCAAACTTCATACCCTGTGTGGTGAAGATTCTTTCCTGATGAGACAAGTTGCTCAGAATGGGGAGGGAGTTGCCCACAGCCCATGCCCAGGAGGAGGTACCTGCCCATCCTGTCTTTCTGCTGCCTCCGGGAAGAAGCGCCACCCTCAGATTGCCCACCCATCCGCGCCATTTCCAGGGTGTGCTGAGTGATATCTTAGGTGCTGGGACTATAGAGGAGAGAAAAGGACACACTCCCACTCCTTTGCTGCGTTCTCATGGGAGAGACACTCAAGTTAATAATATATGCCATGAGGAAAGTGGAATGGGCTGGGAGCAGGACCCTGCTGATGGTCTGTGGAGAGGGGACCCTCCCAGGGAGCCGTCTCTGGGAGCTCTGGGGAAACTTCCAGGTTTTGGTAGCAGCCTACAGGCCCTGTAGCTTGGGTGTGCTCAGCATGAGGGAGTGGGCAAGGGGTAGAAGTGGGACAAGTGTGAGTGGGCAAGGGGTAGAAAAAAGTGGTGGGACCAGAATGTTTGGGAATAGGGTTGATGAGATGAGCTAGGAATGACTGGTAGGAGAGGTTGTGGCCCTGGCTGGGGACCCAGAGTTCCCCAAAGTTCACTTCAGTCTACCTTTCCACTTACCCATCCACCCACTCCTCCATCTATCCACTTCCTGTGCACCCACCTACCACCCCTCCATCCACATACTCATCCATCCACTAATCCCCACCCACTGTGATTCACTCAGAAGTCCCTGGCTGGAAGTTCCTGGCTGGAGACGGATTATTGAGGCAGCTCAGATTTGCCCCAGGCCTCAGAGGCCATAGTCTCTTGTCAGAGGCAGAGCAACCACCAGCAATGCAATGTGTACCTGGTGTAAGCACAGAATGATCACTCCTAGGTGGTATTTCAAGCTGGCTAGAGACAAACGTCCTCTTTCACAGAGTAGAACATGGGACAGTAATTTTCCTTGTACTGAGAGGAGTCTTTGCCCAGATGGAAACCTCTCCAGATGTGTAGAAAATACCAGGAAGCTTGTAAGTCCATCCCCTGCCAGTTCCTCTGGTGCATCCATGGGCTTGGAGACCAAGGTCACCTTCCAACCCTATCAGGGAGGGGTGCACACTGACAGGAATAGGCATTGTCTGGCAGCCTGAGAGCCTTCTCCCCCAGCCCCAGGAACTCTGGCTGCTCATTCTAACGAGAGGCTTGCAGGAGGGCAGCGTGTGACATCAGGCTACACCAGAGAGAGGGTCATAGGGGAAAATCAGAAGGGACCAAGAAAACCTAGCAGGTGAGTCCCTGGATCTGTGGGTGAGGAGATGGTCAGATGAGTTAGTTAAGGAGATCTAGCCTTGGGCTGGGAGGTTAAAGTAGTACAAGCCTGGAGGGAGTCATTCCTGGAGACCACCAGAGGGCACCAAAGTGCAGTCCATGTAGGCAGCAGGAGGGGAGGAATCAGAGGGAGGGGCTATGAATGTGGCGGGTGTTGGGGGAGGCCCCTGTGATGGAGAGACCATCCACCTGTCTAGGATCTGGAAGCTCAGACTATATCGGTGCCCAATCCAGGCCTTGCTCCCTCTGCCCTCTCTCTTCTAGGGGCTCCCAGAGGCCAATGCACACACTCCTCCACATTCCCTTCCACTTACTCATTCAACCTGATTCACTGAACATCTACTATGTGCCACTGTCATAGGCATTTGGGGTTACATGAAGGAACAAAACCACGTCCCTACCCTCCTGGTGCTCAGTCCAGACCAAGGGTGGGCAGGCTTTGTCTGCAAAGGACCTCGGTGAATATTTCAGGCTTTGGGGGTCTTTAGAGCAGCAAGTGGGCAGGGCAGTGTTCCAATAAAATTTTCTGCACATTGAAACTTGAATTTCACCTAATGTTCATGGGTCACAAAATGGGATTTCTCTTTTGATTTTTTTAAAGGTTTATTTATTTATGCATGAAAGAACTGGGGTACAAGCCAGAGGTGTGGGGCGTGAGAGGATTCACCAGAGACAGAGTGGGGAACAGAACAGGCAAATTGACCGAAGTACACTGCTGAGTGGAGCAGCAGGCGAGACAGGAGAGGTCTGCCCCGCCATGTGGGTATCTCCCTGGCCAGGGATCGAACTTATGCTGCCTTGGCTGCAGATAGCTTCATAGGTTGTGTCTTAATACCTTGTATCACCATGGAGGCCCATTTCTCTTTTGATTTTTAACTGTTAAAAAACATAAGATCATTTTAGCTCTGGTGCTCTCTAAAGACTGAATTTGTCTCAGAGGTTGGAGTTACAACCTAGGCCCAGGGAAGCAGAGACAAACTCAGCACAGGGATGAGCCCTCAACTGGGACAGGTATGAGTGCTATGGAAATAGCTGGAATAAGGGGCGTTGGGAGCATGACAGGGGGGCATAACAGGGGGGCCTCTGTAGGATATGGGATGGTCAGAGGGAACCTGGCTGAGAAAGAGAGATGGAGCAAAGATTTTTAATTTAAATTTTCAATTATTTTGATAGTGCAGGTACAACAGAACTTAAAGATATTACTTTAAAGGTGATATAAAGATGGATCAAATGCCGTCCCCCTCCTGCCGCGGTACCATCCACAACTTAGCCTGCAGCCTTGGCACTAATGTCGTGCCTGTGTGCAGTGTTCAGTATCATTTTTTGTATCTGAAGTGGCAGGATTCCACCCCATCTTGCCGTGGCTGGCTTTTCTACATTCCACGGCTTGTTTTGAAGACCTAGTCACATTTATGCGTGTAAAACTACTTCATTTTGTGCGACCTCAGGGTGTTTCCCCTCAGGGGTATGCTGAGTTTTGCCTCCCTGGCATTAGGCAATGCCTGGCAGACAGTGCAGCTGTTCTGCCTTTGGGGTCCTTCCTACCCCCAGGCTCTGCTTAGAGGCATAGTTAAGCCCCCTCTCTTGGGTTTCAGCTGAAACAGACCAGGCTTGGCTGGGCAGGAGGCAAGACCTACTGGGGAGAAGGGTCCCTTCCTGGGCCGAGGGGTCTCATTTCCACGCCTCACTTGGCACTGGCCTGATGAGCAGCATTACCACACCTCTGAGGCCTGGAACTCAACCCCTCAGAGGCGTGAAAGCCACACTAGCAGCCCCTTGGCACTGCCAAGGCTGTTGCCATGGTGATACCTCCGTGGTCCCTTGTACAGTCATGCAGAGGGGAACTTTAGCACCCGAATATAGAGGGGCCTCAGCAGCAGCCCAAGGGCCTAGCCTTGACAGGAGGCCTGGACACCCTTGAACAGCTGGGTCCTGCTTCCAGGGAGGATCCTCTCTGTGAATTAGCTCACCAGGCCTATTACCTTCCCAGACCAGACCCTCCCAGGCTGCTCCAGCGTGCCCCACCTCCAGTCTGTGGCAGACTCTTGGGAATCACAGCTGGGGTGGGGTGGGGTCCTGGCAGAGGGGCCACATGGAATTCCAGCAACTCACCCAGTAGCCTACATTTGCCAAGCACCCCTGTGTGCCAGGAATTGGGCAGTGGCTCCAACATACTTCCTGTCTCCTGTCGAGGGGGCTTGAGGTCTGGTGGGAGAGGCAGCCAGCCAAATCACTACTGATTTATTGGTTTGAATTCATGGTGCAGGCATGTGGTGAAACACGCACACTGCATGGATGGATACGTACAAATTCTCTCGCACTCTGGTCTTGGGTCTCTTCTGCCCCTCCTCGGAAATGGCCTGTGCATTCAATAGCTCGAGAAACACAGCCAGCCAGGAGCCAATCCACACAGCACAGACCAGACGTCTCTCCCCACACTTTTTAGTCTGCATTTTTCACTGACCAGCATTTCTGGGAGATAATTACATATCAGTATGTATAGATCCACCAATTCTTTTTCACAACAGCAAACCCATATTAATAGCTAGAACTTACACTTGCTCTGAGCTGGGTGCGCCTCTTGGCACCTTATTTATATGAACTGGTCTACGCTCCCAAGCAACTCCGAGATAAGTGAAAGGATTGGCGCAGTAAAGAAAAGGAGAGCCAGGCTAAGTTTCTCACAGGCAAGAAATTTGTTGGGCTTCTGGGGCGAAGTTCGCCGACCCCACACGGGGATCAGAGAAGTCTCACCCGTTGGGGGATAAGGGCAAGCTTTTATAGGGCGGCGTCTGGCTTTGGAGGTAGGTGGAGAATGCTGAGTCGAAGTTGCTTTTCAAAGAAGTTTTTTCTCTCAGAACTGGTTGTTCTTTCAACACAGCTTGTCAGGGCCCGTGCAAACCAGGCGGAGCTGGCTCCGGGGATGCAGGTGGCAGCAGTTTCAAGTCCCCCCCTCTGAACCCCATCTCTGCCCCCACCTCGACCTTACAATAAGTACTCCACAGGCCAGGAGGCCAAGGAGGATGTGGGGGTCCAGGGAGGGGCTCCAGGTCCCTCCTGATGGACATGTAGTTAGTTTCTAGGCTGTGAAAATCCTAATTCTCTTCTCTTTGGGCACAGATCTGGAAGGATAAATATTTTAAGAGAATTGCCGGGTTAAAGGGCATGTGCATTTTTAATTGGCATGGCTATTGCCAAATTGCCCTCTGAAAAGGTTGCAGGGATGGTGATGACGCAGGTGGCGCCTGCCCTCCAGCTCCTGCAGCTGGAGTCACCTTTTTCAATCTGAAAGAAAAGAATGATGGCTCCTTGTGATTTTCCTTTGCGCTGCCTGATGAGAGAGGTAGACACGTCCTTCTGTACAGATTGGTACAATCTGATACAATCAGAATTACACCGAGCAATGTCCGAGAGACTGGAGTGGTTTTTTTTTTGTCTGGAGTGACTGTGGAGTTGGCCCAGGAGCCTTGCAGGTGAAGATGTCCCAGCTGGCCTCTGGGGTGTGGGGTGATGCCTGGAGGGCATCCTTGGCAGAGGGGACCTGAGCAAAGGTTCAGGGGTGTGGGAGGAGGGCCTATGGAGGCAGTCCCTCTTCTCAACTATGTTGCTCCTGCTTCCTGCTTCCTTAATCCTCAACCAGGCTATTTCCTCGCTCCCTGGCACAGCTTGAACTAAACGTCTGATCCTGGGGGGGAGGGGGGGCAGGGGTGAGAAGGGGGTTGTCTATACCCCATAAGGTGTCCCTCCAGAGTCCCCAGAGAGGATATGCTCCCTGCCAAGCCTTTAGTGAGGTAGCCCCCATGGCCCTTCCCCTCCCCTCTGCCTCCCTCCGGTGCCTGCCACCAGCCAGGGGAGCGTACATCCTCATTAGCACGGTTCAGTGGCCAGTGCTGGTAATTGATCTCCCTCCGGCCCAGTGTGGACAGCGGCTAATGGGGACGAATGGGGCGGGAGGTGCCTCCTAGGGTTGCTCACCTGGGGGCCCACACAGGCGGAGATGCAGAGGAGAAGGAAATGCACTGAGCAGGCCTGTGTTTCAGCAGGGGAGTTGGAAATTTTCTCTGCCTGTGCCCCCCAGGCTGCCATCTGG